ATTCGTTTTTCATATGATTCTTTTACATCTTCATTCATTACTACAATCGGTCTCGGTTTTTAGTTAAAACAATTGAATTGGATGGAAAACGAAACAAGCTTCAAATTTGGTATACTTCTGGCCAAGAGCGTTTTCATACAGTCACCATCTAATGATTTTGGAGTTGGAATTATTTATTGAATATTTAAATTAATTAATTAACATTATTAGTTTATTACTTATTTGTTTATTTAGCTTATTACCTTGGAGCTATTGTAGTTAATGATGTATGACGAAATTTTTGACTTTAGTCGTTGACGTAACTAAAATACTGGCTAAGGGTAGTTTCTTATCAGGACCCATTTTGATGATTTGACTAAGCCCTTGACATAAGTAAGACCACTTGACGTAATCGACGTAAGTAAAAGCGCTTGATGTAAGTAAAAACATTTGATACAAGCAGCAATAATAGTTTCAAATTTATTACTACTTGATAAAAAATTTTCTGCATATTTTCTTTCAAAATAAAAATGCCACTTCATTAAAATAAAATGGAAAAATCAATTGTCTTTATATACATACGAGTTGTGTTAAATGTTTTTTCGAATTTGACTTTGAAGTTAACTACGCGTAATAATAATACGCAGTAATATTAAATTTTTTTTTAACATTCAGGTCATTATATTTTAATATTTAAGCGAATATATTCTTTTCATGTTAACTTGCATATTCAATAGTTCGTTTGTCAAGTTAATGACTATTAGGTGTTATTTATTTATTTATTATTTTAATTTTTTATATAAATAAACATTAAAATGAAAATCCAACAAATTGAAACATTATTTTAACATTTAGGTGAAATATTCTTTTCCATGTTAACTTGGATATTCAATGATTGCTTTGTGATTGTTTAGTCTACAGTTAAATGATGAATTATTGTCATACGACCATCAAAGAAAAAAAAAATCAAAATCAACATCAACTAATGGACAATGACACTATTATCAATTAATAGTTCTATTGTTCGTTGTAAAAATGAATTCTAAATTGTAATACATAAATTAAATAACTACTTGCTATATGAAAAAAAAATTTTTTTTGAAGTGGG